GGGAAAGAGAGCATTGACCATTGATTCAATATAGCACCAATATACATACTCAGGCAGAAGCACCACAGCTAAAAGCGCTATTCTCACTTTTATAAAGAAAATTCAGGACTCTGCAGAGTTGCTCATCACCACTCATCACTTCCTCTTCCTGCTTCCAGATGCCTCTGGGATTTGTAGTTCAGCATCACAGCCTGCAACACCCTGCAGGGTTGCTCCCCTTCTGCTATACATTAACATTACATTTCCTATTCACACAATATATTACATTACACAATACGTACACTACAGTATGAACTGTCATTACCTGGATAGATCACAGCTTTTCTCCACTGAAAGAGAAATCGGGGTCAGAACGTATCTGAGCAAATGCAGCTGTAAAGGATTCCTGGATGAGGAGCACCTGGCCCAAGCAAAAGCCAGGAAAAACAAGTGTGATTCTGGACACAAATGGGGCAACATGTGGAAAGACTAGATGGAAATTGTCATTTCGTTAAATCCATACAGACCTCATCCATCAAAGTGGTGTCAAATTTCTAAGCATAGGCGGAGGGAGAAAAATGTGTATTGGGGGCTGTGTGTGCATGCTCATGGATGCCCCCGCCCTCTGCTAGAAAGATTGCAGGTGAAGGGCCGGGGGAGGGGGACAGGCTGCTGTGGGGGAGTGCATACCCCTACTGGCTCCCCCACACCGCACTCCTGGGGGAGCCGTTGGGTTCTGACTGTCCCGTGACCCAACCAGGGCCCCATACACGGTGTGAAATATTAAATTTCATTACTAATTGCCATTATAAACTAGCTGCAGGATTCATCCTCAGTCATTCCTTCCAGGATCAAAAGACAGGAATTACAAGTCTTTGAGCGGATTACTGTTTGAATGACACAGATAGGGAGATGTAAACGGGGAGTGCCGCAAAATAAAACATATCTGAGTAGTGTTTAATGCACCAAGAAGACTTTTATAGCGACGGGAAATCCCAATCGTGCAATCACAAATGCAGTTGTGTCAGTGTAAATAGGAAATCTCTTGACATCTACAAATGTCCTCTGTTGCCAATTCAGCACATATGTCTTTTTCTATTCATTAATACTTTAAAATGTACTGAATACTCGTGGAGTTCACAACTAGTAAAATATGAGGTTTTTAGTTTGATTCATTCTGGAAATATGGTTTCTTCTGCTACTTTCAGGGACACGTATCACAGTATTTAGCTTGACAGTCAGAGCTTGAGAACTACGGTTAAAAGAGATGAAAAGAGGAAAATAAGCATGTGACACTAGAGTCAGAAACCTTTGGTCCCTTCCTTTATTGCAAAGAAAGGAAGCTCTTTTGTTACAAATCTACTTCTAACTTCAATGCAAGAAGGAATATTTTTTGTTTGTTCTGACCAACCAATCTGTAACAAGATGGACTTTGAATTCAGTTCATTTTGAACATGCGAATAATGCAATCTTTGAATAAAGACTGAAACAAACTATCATGGGATCATCTAATCTTCGTATTATTAAATTATATGTCAAAAATGGTGTCTGTCAGAGGGTAAATAAAACAGCACATTCAGCTAATTTTTTGTCAAGCAAATGAAATTCACCTACCTGATTGATCCTGCTTACAAGTTTTATCCTGTGTCCAATCCTCGAAGAGACAACTCCCATTAATTAAAATGGACTAAAATATTAATTCAAAATGTAAAATATTAAGTTTCACAATTAATTACAGTTATAAACTAGCTGCAGGGTTTACTGGAACCATTTCTTCCGGGCTTAAACAGTCCTTTTTTTTTTCTTCCAAACTGATATAAGTGATTTCCTCTTGCAGTTTCCCTGGCTGGAAAGTGAAGGGATCGCATACAGGAAGTTGGAGCAGTTCCAAATCCAATCCAGTGAGAATAGAGTCTGCTCTTAAAGAAAGAGCCACATTTCCAATAGACTGCAAGTAGGGGCACCTAAGAACATAGGTCTGGAAGGGCCTCTAAGGCCATCCAGTTTAGTCCATTCCCAGGCACCCCTTTCCCCAAAGTTTCCTGACAATGACCCACAGCAAACTTTCACAAAGAGCCAGTCACCTCATCAGAGAAAGCAATCATGTTGGTCAGGCATGACTTGCCTCTGGCAAATCCATGCTGACTGCTCCTAATCAACTCCTCCTCCTCCAAGTGCTTAGAAATGGATCCCTTGAGTATCTGTGCCATGATTTTTCCAAGCACTGAGGTGAGGCTGACTGGTCTGTAGGTCCCTGGATCCTCCTCCTTCCCTTTCTTAAATATGGGCCCTATGTTTGCCCTTTTCCAATCATCTGGTACCTCTCCTGATCACCATGAATTTTCAGAGACAATGGCCAGTGGCTCTTCAATCTCATCAGCCAACTCCCTCAGCATCCTCGGGTGCATCCCATCTGTCCCCATACACTTCTACATATCCAACTTTCTAAGTAGTTCCTAACCTGTTCTTTCACCACTGAGAGCTGCTCACCTCCTCCCCAAATTGTGCTGCCCAGTGCAGAGTCTGGGAGCTGCCCTTGTGTGTGAAGACTGAGGTGAAAAAGGCATTGAGCACTTCAGCTTTTTTCTGCATCCACTGTTACAAGGTTGCCTCCCTCATTCAATAAGGGAACCACACTTTCCCTGATCCACCTCTTCCTAACCACATACATACCAGTTTAAGATCCAGTGCACAGGTGCCTCATTTGGGAAATTGCTTCCTTGTGTCTTTATTCATGAAGCTCTCTGGAAAGACACCATGATCCAGATCTACAATACAGTGATCATTCCCACTCTCCTCTACAAGTGTGAAATGTGGATGACCTACCATGGTCATCTCAACTGCCTGTACAGGGATCACTACTATGTCCTAGGAAGATCCTCCACTCCACATCAATGGGAAGATTGTCACACAAACGCCAGCATCCTGGCTGAAGCCAATGTTACCAGCACTGAGTCAGTGATCCTCAAGCACCAATTTCACTAGACCAGACACTGTGTGGGGATGCCTGACTCCTGACTCCCAAAACAACTGCTCAGCTCCCAGCCTAGGCTTGGCCTGAGATCTCACAGTGTCCAGAGGAAATGCTTCCAGGGCATATTGAAGGCATACATCTAGAAATGGATGCCAACTTGAACAGCTAGGAAGAGCTGGCTACCAGCTGACTGCAGTGATGACACGGGCTCAACCAATGGTCGTCCATTTCAAGGTGAAGCACATTGCCCTCAAAGCAGAGAAGAGCAAATGGAGAAAAGACAAGAGAGGAACCACTGCCCACAGCCTACTTTCCCCTGAGGAAAGACCTGTAACTGCTGCCGATGGCTCAAGAATTTGATTCTTAACTCACCTCAAGACCCATCAATGACTCATGGCAGAGATCATCCCTGAATCAAGGGATTGGTGACAATGACATCTCTTGCTGCATGGGTCACTTTAACTCTGCATACGGACAATTTAATTCTTTAGATAAGTCTTTTTCCTCACGGTTTATACATCACTTACTCCAAGCCGACATGACACTGATATTTCCTGCTGTCATACCCCTGTAAGGAGTGTGAGCAGGAGCTTTATTTCACATTTTTTTGATTTTACAACATTTGAACTTGGGTTTTTAAATTAGCAGGAAGGGCAAACCGAAAACTGTCCCAATGGGATTCGGCCACAACCACAGAAAAGGTTTGTGTGTATCTGGCTCACAGGCAACACAAGCAGTGAAGCTACAGTCCCACCAGACTGACATGCCAATTTCACTGGGAAAGCAATCAGTTTTATTCAGGAGGAATCAAATCTCTTAAAGAAACCTGCTCGCTTCACAACATTTATGACAAGGAAATGAGATGTGAAATAAATCAATCACCGAGCAGATGTTGATATTTATTAGCAACAGCTTTATTGACTACAATTGTGAGGACAATGAATGACTTTGGAGTGATTTTTCAACAATCAGAATGAGGGGAAAAGGTCAAAATTTGCACAAATCACTTTCCAAGCAGCTGCAGCGGCCCCACTTCCCAGGACTGCAAGCTCTGGACAAGCAGCGCTGCAATGAGCACCAGGGCCGGGTTCAACTGCATTTCCCAACACAACCGGCCCCGGGTTTTGGTGCCTCCTCTTTGCTGCCCCTCCCCCGCCCCCCCAGCCGCACCCATGGGTGCTGGACCCCACAGGCCCCCGAGGGCCCCTCGGTCATGCAGGAAACGACACCCGGGCAGAAGGACCATCCAGCCCTGCCACCTTCTGCTCACCGTGGTCGGGGGATGAAGAAACCCAGCCTGCTCGTCCAGGGCCACGGACACGGCACAGCTGATCATTGGTAAGGAGTCCTCCAGGGTCACAGACACGAGCACGACTGAGGCCGGAGGGGACAACGAGCAGGTCCCGTCTTGCACGTTTCCTTTCCCTCTCACTGGCGCCGGCTGAGCCTGATTTCACTGTCCCACACCCAGACCCAGGGCCGGATCCTGCCCTCCGCGAACGAGGCCGGCGGGAAGGTCAAGATCGGGGCCCCGGTGTCAGCATCGAGAAACGACACCCGCCCCAATGTGCAGTCCAGATACACCGCCACCCTGCTGGGCACCCGGTCCAGGGGCAGGCGGGTGCAATGAGGGGCAGTGAGAGCCTCGTAGTGACCCCAGTAGCGCCGCACAGCCCAGACCCCCTCCTCGGGGCTAAAGCTGATCTCTCCCTTCCTCCTCACAGAGTCTCTGGCCACCCCCACGGCCCACCATCCCCCCTCTCCCACCTCCACCTCCCACCAGTGTCTCCCAGAGGTGAATCCCTCACGGCCCAGCACACAGCGCCATGTGTCAAATCTCTCAGGATTGTCGGGCAGATCCTGCCGTGTGTGTGTCCTTCTAACAGTTTTCCCATCCTCAGACAGGACGAGGCCTCAGACAGGACAAGCTCAGGATGAGCCGTGTCTGGATCCAGAGTCACCTCCTCTGCAGGGAAAGGAGATAACAGCAGCGTGAGGAGCAGCGCTCAGCCCGAGGACAGGCTGTGATCAAGGCAGGGGCAGCTTTGGCTGCAGCTGGAGGTGAATCCAGGATTGACCCAAGCAGGAAGGAGCCCGGAGACCTCAGCAAAGGGCAGGGCCAATTCTGCCCTGGCAGGAAGAGACGGGACAGGGACAGAAACACGCCGGCTGGGCCAGGGCTGGGACACGGGATCGTTCCCCTCCTGCACCTGCCGGTCACAGGCAGGGATGAGAGACCCTGGGGGCTCAGGAGAGCCCGGCAGAGGGTGTGAAGGGGAGAGCATGGATACAGCTCAACTCCCTCTGCACTGTCCACTGCTTGTCTTCAATCCCACTCTCTGCCACCTTCCCCGTGCTCAGACTCTGGGGGACCCTTTCCCAGAGAGACATTTTCACTCCAGCAAGTCACAGCCAAAGAAATTAACATTTGCACCAGATCAGCCCTTAGACTACATGTATACGTACCTGTCCAGGCTGCCAAGGGAAATACAATGTCATCTATGCAAAAGGGACCCTTTTGGCACTCAAGTGATTAAAAACCTGCCATTTACAGTCACAAGGGGAAATAGAAATTGCTGTGTATGCAGTGGAGACTGTTAGGTTCCTCCAAAAAATGTGGCCATAGGAGGTTTTGAATCCTTTGTCCTAAGTAAAAAGCACTTCCTGCCACAAACTGTTAGGGAAGTCTAAAAATTTGACCAGAAAGGAAAAAGGGAATGGAAATCACAGCAAAGGAAAGCATTGACCACTGATTCAATGTGAGCTTTCATTACCTCGACAGGCCACAGCTCGACTGTTAGGTTCCTCCAAAAAATGTGGCCATAGGAGGTTTTGAATCCTTTGTCCTAAGTAAAAAGCACTTCCTGCCACAAACTGTTAGGGAAGTCTAAAAATTTGACCAGAAAGGAAAAAGGGAATGGAAATCACAGCAAAGGAAAGCATTGACCACTGATTCAATGTGAGCTTTCATTACCTCGACAGGCCACAGCTCTTCTCCACTCTGGAAGAAAGAGAAATAGGGGTGAGAAGTTATCTGAGCAAATGCAGCTGTAAAAGGAGTCTTGGATGAGGAACATCTGGCTCAAGGAAATGCCAGAAAAGACAAGAGTGATGCTGGACACAAATGAGGCAACATGTGGAAGGACTAGGTGGGACACTGACCTTTCATGTCACTAAATCCATAAATCCATTAAATCCCTCATCCAACAGGGTGGTGTCAAATGTCTAGATGCTGTTTGACCACTTGCTAAGTTGCAGTGACCAGGGAGCCTCAGTATCCAAAGACGCCACTGATTTGGAGCTGCTGTGCCATTTCCTGGGAGAAGGCCTGGCTCCAGAGATACTCCCATTATTGCCATCTAGGCTGGATTACTAGTAGTCACTCTCTCTGAACTGACCAAGAAGTTTCTGGTTGGTCCAGAATACAGCTGCCGATTTTCTCTATGCTATAGGGCACCTTGTACATGAAGCACATATTTAGATCCCTCCACTGATTCCCAGCCATCTTATGATGCCATCTTACACCCTTGTTCCTAATCTTCCAACTAATTAACCCATGTATCTCCAGTTACCTTAGTGTTCACATTTCACTCTGTGAACCACTACAACTGCTGTAAGGCCATGGGAGACGAGCATCACACAGCCCAGAAAGAAGTGTCTGAGAGCTATGGACAAAACACCCCTAGCCAAGGGCATCTTGGTGTTACTCCCAGTTTTATGTTCCAACAGGCCTTTTCCAGTATGGAGAAAATGAATCCTACAGCTAGATGGATAAATTTTATACCATGGAAAAAGTTATATTGTACACAGACAAAAACTCACC